GAACCGCGGTCCCTGTGCTTTGCCAAGCTTGTTCCAAGTAGGTGCTTTAGACCACTGAGCCATCTCGCCAGCCCTAATACATTTATTTTTGTACAGAATCTCACTACGCACCTCAGACTAATAGTGATCCTCCTGTTTTCAGCCTCCCCAGAGATGGGATTACAAGCATGCACCACTGTGTCCTGCCTCTGTGGCTGCTCAGCATGCCCAGGGGCAGGGCCAGCGTGGCACGTGGTGCTGGGAACCGAACCCCAGTCCCTGCGCTTGCCGAAGCAGGTGCTTAGTCGCTGAGCTATTTCACTGGCCCTTCACTTTGCCTTTTTAGACCAACAGTGTGCCTAGAAATTCTTTCCATGTCAGAATAAGAAATAAATTGATTTATTTTTGACAGTTATGGAATATTCTATATCATGGCTATATATTCCATTGAGAACGTTTACAGCTTTGCCTAAGGTAGTGCTGCCCTTCTCTGACTCTTGGGCCTCTGGAAGAGATGCAAAGAATTGGGCTGTATGGTCAGGGATTGTCACTGCTTTTAGGTAAGTTATCTAAATTTACCTAAAGGTACATTAGCTAAGTTATCTTCATAAACGGTTGTGCCATCTTCCCTTTCACCTCCAGACTCTTTAGTACTGGGTTTTTTTTTTTTTTTTTTTTTTTGTCATTTTTATTTATGGGGGGGCAGCTCAGCCCACCAGGGGGCAGGACTGGCTGGCATGTGGTGCTGGGGGGATTGAACCGCGGTCCCTGTGCTTTGCTTGGCTTGTTCTAGGTAGGTGCTTTAGACCACTGAGCCATCTCACCAGCCCATTAGTACTGGTTTTTTGTTGGTGGCATTGGAGTTTCGTTTGTTTGGTTTTTTTGTGTGTATGAGGCAAAGTCCGACACTGTAGACCTGGCTGGTCTTGAACTTTCAATCCTCCTGCTTCAGCCTCCCAAATGCTAGGGTTATGGGTTTGTGCCACCATACCTGTCTTTGTTACTAGGCACTAGAGAAAGCTTCTCTGTGCCTTCTACACATGGTGACATCAGCCCAAGAAGTAGGAAACCGATGGCATCTTCATTCACCCAGTTTGCAGAAACCTCACCCTGACCCCTGTGTTCCCTCAGAAATATTCAGTCTCTCCATTTGTTGGATCTGATTGGTAACATCAAGTTCCAGCCACCCACATCTCACAAGCAACATTTGATCTGTGTAAGTGAACTCACTGTACTCCTCAGCTTTTTGTTGCAGAAAATATGGTCACTGTCATGCTGAAATCATCCCACACACGGAATGAGGCCTGTCCCTGGAAGGAAAGAGTTCGGGCTGTGGGGGGAGAAGGGATGCAGAGTTCAGGGGGGAGCCTGAGTGGATGACATGAGGGTGTGTGCTGATCAGGGTGAGGAGTTGGCACCAGCCCCAGACCAAACCTGCAGCTTCCTCCGTGGGCTGAAGGGGGCGCCTGTGTGGGGGTCTCCTCTTCCCCTTTCCTCTTTTCTCCTCTCCATTTCTCCCTTTCACCCACTCCTGACCCCGTGCTTTCTCTCTCTCCTCTGCTGCCCTCTGCCCTCATCCCTGCTGTCTCTTCCTTGCCTTCTGTCTCCTTAGGGCCTGTCCTTGTTTCTTGACCTTTGTCACTTCAGTTGGAGACTTCTGACCTGCTTCTGTCCCCTCCCCTAGGGAGCATAACCACCCCTGGGAAATCTCAAGGCTTCGCCTACATTGACAGCTGAAAGCATTCCCATTAACACTCACTGACCATTTAAAAGGGCTTAAGCCTTTAATTTTAATCCTGTGTCCCCCTGTGTAGAGGGTTCTATCCCAATACCAGCATCTTGCAGGGAGAACTGGCTTACCTTTCCCAGTGCACTGTGGTCTGGGCCCCGTGGCCAGGCCAGGGGAAAGATGAAAGGGGCTCATACACCACACAGAGGAGGCGCAACAGCACTCCAGCAGGGTGGATCTTGCTCTTGGGAGAAGTGTACCAGAAACCTGTGTGACTTCAGAGTCCCTGTGGAAGGAAGTTCTCCAGTAAACACCAAAGGTGGAGCCTCAGGCTTCCTTGACACCTTGCTGAGATGTAGGATGAGAGGAGAACAGGACTGGAAAGCTGTCACCACTAGCCTCAAAAACAGAGTTGTTCTTTATTATCCAGAACAACTCGTCATTATTGATTACTTGTGATGGCAGTAGTGTGCAGCTGGTGGCACCTGCTCACCCTGGTTGCGGTCTTCCTCGCTCCACCCGGGGAAGGAGCTGGGCTTGCTGCTGGGTAGCAGTGACTGATAAACAAGCCCTGGGCCTGTCCTCAAGCTCTGCCCCATTTGGTCTGAGCCTCAGTGGACCCTGGCCAGCGCCTCTCTATTCACACTTCAGTCTGCTTTGGTTTGTAAAGTAGTTGGTTTACACAAAAATTAAATGAAATGAAACTGTACCTAATTATAACATAATGAAGAGAACAAAGACTCTGAGATCGGAAGTTATCCATCTCCGATAGTCCGGAGCTGGGCAAGTGGGTACATCCGCTTCCCAGCTATGATTTCCTTTCCTGTAAATAGACTACCATTTCCTAATTTACAGGATATCATCAGATTTAAATCAGGCTTAAAAGAGGTTATGCGTTTACTGCAATGCCCAGCATATGTTACTTCCTCAGTAGTTATAAGTCATTTCTATAGTCATCCATTTTCAAATATTTATTTATTTATTTATTTTGTGTGTGTGTGGCCAGCTCAGCCCACCAGAGGGCAGGGCTGGCTGGCATGTGGTGCTGGGGGATTGAACCGCGGTCCCTGTGCTTTGTTTATCTTAGCTTGTTCTAAGTAGGTGCTTTAGACCACTGAGCCATCTCACCAGCCCTAGTCATCCATTTTCTTCTTTTAAAAATTTTTACTTTTCAAGACTAGGCTTGGTAGCGCATGCCTGTAATCCCATCGCTGGGGAGGCTGAGACAGGGAGATCATTGTGAATCTGAGCTGCATAGCGAGACCCTGTACCAAATACCTAAAATGTTTACTTTGCAATTGTAGTTAACTGTTGTAGAAGGGTCTTACTAGGTACAGTAGTTCAGGCTGATCTTGAGCTCACTGTTAACCCCGAGCTGGCCATGGTGATCCTTCTGCCTCAACTTCCCAAGTGCTAGGATTACAGGTTTGCACCACCACACCCAGATCTTTCTGTTTCTAATACTCTGTTCATCTGGAAATTTTTCTCTAAATTTCTTTTTCTTTATCTCACAACTTTGTTCTGGCATACCTCCTGTGACAAGAATAAAACAAGAATCTAGGAAACCAGAGGCTTGGCTTTCAATGCACTTCCACACCAAGTGATAGCATGTGGGAGCATCCATTAGCAGGAGCAGGGATTTGCATTTTACAATATGCATACGCTTAGCAAATTTAAAAAAAAATAGTCAACTTAACATTTCAGAGCTTTATCTTCATTGCTAATTTAAATTACCTTACAAGAGGCTGAGACTATTTTTGTTCTAAGTTTACCTTTCTGTTCCTCACCTAGGTAACTTCTAAAACTGCACTAGAACTGAGATTCCAGTTTCTGGTCAAGCCTTACTGGGATGGACGCCTGCTCCCTACCTGTCTTAGTCACTTTTCTCTTGTTGCTGAAGCAGAGTACCCAACACCCAGAGTTAAAGGGGAAAAGGGTTATTTAGCTCACAGTTTGTGGAGGTTTCAGTCCATAACTACAGCAGGGTGGCTTGGCAGAGGGGCAGTAGTTCATGATGGTGGAAAACAACGAAAGCAACCAAAGAGAGACAGGGCCCTTTCTGTCCCTTGTATTGTATCCAGTCTATCAGGATTAAGGCAGTGCCAGTCTAATCAGTGGTACAGCAATCACTCACCCTTAATCCCAACACCCTTAATCCTATCATTGCACCATGAATCAATCACATACTCTAGATACAGCCACTTGGAAAAAAACCTGTGTGGGGCTGGAGAGATGGCTCAGTGGTCTAAAGCACCTACTTAGAACAAGCTTGGCAAAGTGCAGGGACCATGGTTTGATCCCCCAGCACCACATGCCAGCCAGCCCCGCCCCCGGTGAGCTGAGCTGGCCACACACACACACACACACACACACACACTAAATAAATGTGTAAAAAAAAAAAAAACCCTGTGGCTGAATGAGGCTTTGGGGGAACCTCTAGACATGAACCGTAACACTGCCCATTCCTGTGTCCCTTTGAGGCCCACACCCTCCTCACTTCATGAGGTGCTGGAGGAACTATTGGGCATAACACTTTCCTCTTCCTTCCCCTAGAGAAATGGTTACACTGCTCGGAGGTCAACTGGATCTTTCCCAAGATTTGCTTTTTAAATAGTGGGCTCCTAAACATGGAAATGATATAAGTTGGAACCTCTGTGACTGTACGTAGTCAAGCAGTGCCTTGATCTTAAGTTTTGGACCCCCAGGCCTGCTGAATCAGTGTCTCCAGGTATTAGTGCACAATCTCCTTAGGTAATTCTGTTGGGCAGTTGAAAAAGAGAAAAAAGAAAAGAAGGGGAAAAAGACAAGGAAAGTTAGCCCTCTTCACCCACCCTCCATGCGGGGGCAGAAGTACAGGTGTCAATTGCAGGCCTCAAGGAGGTAGAGACAGAGCCACCTCGGACCAGTCACAAGGCCGCAGGTCCTGGATGGGTTCCAGCTGGGTCCTGGCACTGGTCAGAGCTGGCCTTTCTTCAGTCAGCTTGAAATGAACCAGCTGAGGACACTGGCTCTGAGGGTCAGGCATCGGCTCCGGGGCAATGGCTATGCCTGAAGGTACCTTGAGAAGGTATCTTGGGGACTTAAGGGGCTTTGACTATTTCAGTTGTTTTGTTGTTTTTAAGCAGTTTATTGACAGCACTTCTCAGAGACAGGTTAGGTTACTTTTACAAATTATAAACCTCATTTGCAACCTTGTGGATTCCTAGTTTCACTTCTAGAAGTGACTATATTTTGGGGACATTCTAAAATATGTCTTTTGAGTACTGGCAAGAGAAAATCTACCTGTAAAAAACTACTTCCAAGCAGTGATTTTGGCTAAGTGTTTAAGGGATGAACTAGAAAAATGAACTTCAGGTGGGTGTGGTGGCACATGCCTGTAATTGTAGCACTGGGACGCTGAAGAAGGAGGACTATAGGTTTGAGCCCAAGCAGAATGACTTAGTGAGATCCTGACCTGCTGTTTGTGCTGAGGTGAGCAGATCCCTCTCTGGGCCTGCTTTCTATGCTGCAGGATGGTTTTAGGTTTTGTGTCCGTCTGCTCCAGCTGACCCAAAGAATACCACAGACTAAGTGGTTACAGCATGAAATTTACTTGTGAAGGCCACAGGTCTCAGGGAAGAGCCTGCAGCTTTGGATTCTGCCGGGGTCCTTTTCTCTGTGCAGCTGCAAGGCAGAAGCAGCCCTGCCCTTGCAGGACACCAAGCTCATCCTTACAGCCTCCCCTAGCCTGACTCAGCTAGAGGCTCCATCTCTAAATGAAGTCGAGGGGCTAGGGAGATGGCTCAGTGGATTAAGCGCTTCCCTGGCAAGCACAAGAGCCTGAGTTCAATCCCCGGTTCCGCCAAAAAAAAAAAAAAGAAAGAAAAAATCTCCTGTAAATGAAGTCACATTAGGGTGAAAACTTCAACAGAAGAGTTTTTGGGGAACAGTTCAGGTGAATATTAAAGGGTATCATGCATATAGTAAAATACCATGAAAGCATATGCTTGCCTGGCATAGTGATGCACACCCTAAGCCTTAGTCTTGAGAGGGTGAGGCAGGAGGATGGCATGTTTGAGGCCAGCCTGGGCTATGTGTTGATATCTTGACCCAAAAAACAAAACAAAACAATAGAATAAGCTTGGCTTTGCCTATGATTACAATCCCAGCATTTTGAGGAGCATTGCTGAACCTTCAAACTATGGCGTATGCCCTCTCCGTAGGTTCTGATGGCACACGCTGTGGTGCCATTTGGAATAAAACAGAACTTGGAGGTGTTGTCAGTTGTGTAAATTAGCACAAAGTTGCTCTCTGCTTTCTTGCAGGAGTTAGCAAGGGCTGAAGTGAACTGCCCAGGACACCACCTGGGAGGCCTCTCTGGGGCCAGTGTGGGCCTTGGAGCACATCTCTGTGAAAACCTGACCTCCAGCCTCTCCCTGCCTGGGATTCTCTGCCAGTGTGCTTGGGCCTCTGGGCAGGATCCATAGCTTCCCCTGTGGGGAACTATT